ATGAAATTTGTACTTTCCGACAATAAAAACTACTTGCCCCGGGAGATCGGGCGATGGTTAACATCGAGCCCTGCAATCCATAGTATTTTTTTCCTGTTCAAAGGGAGTTTTTCCTCTCCACTGTCGCTACAAGCATGCTTAGTGTGAGGGATTGCTGAAGAGTCAATGAGTCGATGCAATCAGCTGGTTTTCCTTAGATAGAAAACTTTAAATCAATCTGACTGGATGATCTGGATCTATAAAGTGACGTGAGACATCAAACAAGGAACAAAGAATCTACGTCATCCATCAATAAGGGTCTCAATAGCTGCACAAAGGGTCTGTTTTCAGCTCAGCTGCAGTAGATGGATGCTCACCTAATCTCTGGAGATGTTCTAGTGATTGCCGGCTGCCATGGGAGGCGGTACGACGCACTGCGCTGTCTAAACAAACACAATCCTCTTATTGACGGCATTTCCTCAGCTTGTTCCTCAGAGCGGCGGCGTGCCCAGTGTGTGGATGGGCGGCGTGTCTGAAGCTGCAGGGCAGTCATCTGGGTGTGATTATTCATCATCCCTCTGCTGAGGCGGCATTACACTTCTCTGAAACAAGCCTCTGCTTTTTCTCCCATCCAGATTGCCCCGGGAGATTGGCTTTCTCCGCCTGTGTAACAGATACCATCTAAACCATTAGGGCTCATTCAGCGCCATGTGCCGCTCTGTAGCTCAGGTTCCTGTGACCCCAGGGTCAAACGGCTGAGAGCTCCCTGACCTCCAGCACTTCCTCTCGATATTAACAGGGTAGTTATGTAGTCAAAAGTCCTGATATAGAACATTGGTTCATTTGGATAATTGCCAATCAGCCGAGCTCTGAGGAGAGCAGTGATGGTGGGTCTTTATGTGGCTCACTGAGGCCATAATGACAGCAAACAGAGGCCCCTCCGCCTGGAATCACGCGCTCCGATGCCCGCCGGCTGTGTTTCTCTCTCCTAACTGGGCTAAACATGAGCCAAGCCCAGGTTTATGCTTGTGGGACGGATATTAAAGCAACTGTTTGCCGGCTGTTGTTTATAGCAGAGGTTCTGATCCAAATGACTAACTACACGGCTGGGATGAACTCACGGATCTCCTCTCTGCTTTCCAAACACAAATTAAACACTAAAAATACTTTGCATTCGTTCTTTTTATACGTATTCTTTATGGGAAAATATTATAACATTTGATACACTTTCATAAAGTGTATCAAATGTATCATAATTATAAATTAAGAAAGTATATTTTTTGACATTTCTTCTAGAATAAATACATTTAAATTCACTTTTATATTTTACATCATAAGTATTATTAATTATTATTTATTTTGCTAATAATCTATAATTTTCCAGAATGCTGCTTTTAAGATCATCATTGCTTTTTTTAATTAATTTTTTTATTTTAGGTATTTTGGTCGTCTGAAAGATTAGGAAATTAAACAAATGTTTGCTGCAGCTGGAGGCTCCCACACCGTCCCCGCTGCTGGATGTCCTGCTAAAGGTGTCCCACTAAGACAAATCAGACGTCTGTCACTTCCTGAGCAGGTCCCTGAATGTCCACTATGATGGAAAATGAAACAAGTCTTCGGGATTTTGTTCATCTTTATGTCTTGAATGACGACTGGTTACCTTCTCCATGAGACACAGACGTTTGGTTGATGCTCTCACAGCCTTGTGGAAAAAAATTACATCATTTTGTTCTCTGATGCCCATGCTGGTGACTGGCTGAACAGGCTGGTGACTGGCTGAAC